TTTGACAACCATTTATAGTTACATAGTTAGTCTGGCTAAAAAAAGACAAAAGTCCATCCAGTTCAATCAAAAAAAAAAAAAGTTATAATCCTACACCCACAGTTGATCCAGAGGAAGGCAAAAAAAAAAAATAGCAAAGCATGATCCAATTTGTTCTTGCAGAGGAAAAAATTCCTTCCTGATCCCCCGAGAGGCAATGGGATATTCCCTGGATCAACTTTACCTATAATGTTAGTAACCAGTTATATTCTGTATATCTAAGAAATAATCCAGGCCTTTTTATAAAGCAATCCACTGAGCTGGTCAGAACCAACTCTTGAGGAAGTCTATTGCACATTTGCACAGCTCTCACTGTGAAGAAACCTTTCTGTATTTGGAGATTAAATTTCTTTTCCTCCAGATGGAAAGAGTGCCCCCTTGTCCTCTGTGATGACCTCAGGGTGAATAACTCTACATTATTCAACTATTGGTGTTGTGCATTTTGTGTTTGATTGAAGCATAACACAACCCAGAGTGTCAGAGGTGTTGGGGATGTCACAAGGTCAGGGCAACCAATGGAGGCAAGCAGTTACCAGCGGCCCTCGTGGGAACAGAGCTGCACGTTCTTGGGGGGCAGCTAGCCTACATCTCACCCAATTTTTGCGTGTAACTCTAAAATGAGTCACTTTGAATAAGCCAGGTATGGTGAACCTTACATGTACTCAGAATGACATTTCCTTTATTCACTTTCAAATAATAGAGAATGGGTAAATATGGTATACAGAGTGCAGCATATTATGTTGCGTGGAACTGATCTTAAACTCTTACTGTTTTGAATTGAAGTTGACTTTTACTTTCATATATTTTTTCCTAATGTAAATAAGGGTTCCTAATTTAGAGTCTTCTTTTTTTTGTTTTGTTTTTGGAGCAAAACAATGTTCTCTCTGTTCTTTTAGTTTGTTTTCATACTTGCAGAGATACTATCTATGTGGCCACGAATGAGTTAATCCGTGGGCACAAATAAAGCACAAGATTTTTTGACATTTGCTATTTCTGCAGAGAAGAAGGAGATAGTGCCAGTTGCCGCCTCTGTTATTTAGCTTCAGCACCAGAGATTGTTGTTATTTGTTTAGCTTAATGCCACTGTTGGCTGTCACAGATGGTGGCATTCCACCCAGCCATCTGATACCCATAGAAAAGCTGGCAGCACAGATTAACCCTCTTTGTGCCTGAATGTCTGCCAGAAAGATGCATCATATTATTAGTATCAATTATTTCGATGGGGAGGAGTTTATTTACTATCTACACCATGATGTGACAGATTAACATATTTAGCAAACCTCCTGTACTTTTAAGCACATATACAAAATGATATACTGTTATCATGTACCAACTTACTGCACTAGATAATTATTATTATTGCACAATGCTGTGCTGCCACTTTCAGATGTAAGCAGCACTAGGTCACCTGCTGTATTTGCAGCATGTGGATGCTATTAGAGTGAAATCCATTTCCATGTGCATGTTGTTAATGTTGGTCTGAAAAAACTCAAATTAAGTATTATTTTCAAAGTATATGTAGCCAGGTGCCTGCTATATAATTATGCCTTTCAGGGACATTTACAGAGAAGACTATGATTACTCCTTTTCTCCATAGTGCCCAGTACTGGGACTGCTATATCACTTCCTGTAGCAGAGTGGATCCAGTTCTTCTGACAGCACAAGATCTTTGGACTTGTAGTCCTATAGCCAATACATATGGTATTACTGAGTGCTGACTGAACTACAACTACTAGAGAGCTGGTGCACCAGAATGATGATGGAAGAGCAGATATATTCTACAGCATGGGACTGCTTCTCTCTCTTTTGATTCAGAGCTGAACACAGGGGGACTACCGTTCACCTCCAGAGACCAATTGTTGGTCTACTGCTGTGGGACTCTGCATATCCGTTCAGCACAGCAATGATGCTAATCGCCACACTGGGATTGCATCAGCTTCTCTGCACTGGGACTGTCACTGTCTGGTCTTCACACAGACATCTCTGCTCTCCACGCTGACAGGCCAACAGGTGGTAATTCTGCACTTCCATGTAAACAGCCAAGAGCCATGCCATCCCAAGGATTGGTGAGGGGGCAGATACCCAACCTCTTTCTGTCATCACTCACTGCATGCAGATGACTTTATACCTCAGTATCAGGAGATCTCTTTGTTTTGAGCAGTACTACAGTCTGTTTACCTTCATTGAATTACCAGTATTCACTACTGTGTATGGGCCCCACTATTGCTAGCAGAAGACACGGGCACCACCATTTCAGGAACTTTAAACATCACAGGACTTAACTTGCAATCTCTAGTTAAAGGGAACTCTTCTTTTCTAAAGCCATCGTTATTCAAATGAGGATATGTATATCTATTTATGTTGGTATATATATGATAGTTCTTTGTAACCACCATTACGGTTGCGCTGACCTAGAGGGAGGGAATTTATTTCAGGTACTTATATAGCACCATCAATTCACACAGCACTTTACATATATATGTATATATATTATACATTCACATCAGTCCCTAACCCTCAAGGGGTATACAATCTAAGGTCCCAAACTTACATTCATACACATACTAGGGCCAAGTTAGACAGGATCCAATTAACCTACTAGCGCGTCTTTTGAGTGCGGGAGGAAACTGGAGTACCTGGAGAAAACCCATGCAGGCACAGGGAGAACCTGCAAACTCCAGGCAGGTGGTGCTGTGGTTGGGATTCAAACCAACGACCTTAGTACTGCCAGGCGGAAGTGCTAAACATTTTGCCACTCTGCTGCCTATAAATCAACTAGCCTTTTCATCCCCTTCTTACTGCTGGTGTGGAAGTTTAATAGTTGAAGCTTACTACTCAAGACTGTATAATTTGTTAAACATTGCTAACTGATTATTACTATTTTGCCAGTGTTCTAATTTATGCATTAACTGGGGTGGTATATCCTAAACCCATTATTCTTGTTGTCTACTCTTTTGAACAAGACTAATATAGAGGTGTTACTAAAGAATTTTGTCTCTTGCATTATCTTATACTGTTGAAATATGTCTGAACCCAGAGTGTCAGAAGGCTTGCAAGGTCAGGGCACCAACTTTCAGAGATCCTGCAGTGAGGTAGTGCAAAAAGTCCTTACAAAAGACCAGTGTTAGCTTACCTGGGAGGCCAGTGCTGGTTGTATTTCAATGTAAAAGTACAACATTTACAAAAATCATTTATATGGAAAGCAAGGCATGTAAACAACCAAAACAATATGAATAAATTAACAAACCATAAGAGTGCTTAGCTTATATAGCCACAAGCCAGCAGAGTGAACAAAAGAATAGTTGAGCATCGCTGAAGAACCAGAATCATTGCACATTATTGGTGTTTATAACACAGCAGCACTGTACAAAGTACCAGAGCTTTCAATGTAGTAGAGTTAATAGTCAAGCTTTTATTTGTCTGTGACCTCATTGAGGAGATTTTTTCCCCTCACTTTTTGTTGCTGTGGCGTTAAGATATTGGTGAGCAGCTGTCATCATGGTAGAAAGGCACAAACAGTATCAAAACAGTGTCAGAAGTTTCAACCCTTTCCTACTCTATTAAAAGTGTTTTTGTATATATCTACATTAGAGAGAATTCCCACCTTTACTGTCCTGACAGGAAATGAGGTAAAATGTCCCAAACAGAGACACAGCCTGCAATAAAAACCCGACAAAGTCTTTAACCCTTCTCTACTGTATTTTAAACAAAAAAAAAAAACAGTTGACTGGAGCTTGGCATTAACTATTGGAGAGAATTTATGAAAAGTCAAGGCATGTACAAAAGCAGAGGTATTAGTGGTGCCAATAGCAACACTACTGTCAGGGATGCGGGTGTGACCAGAGATGTGTGGACTGACACAGGGAAACGCAGGCTTCAGATATGGTATAAATAAGACAATTTATTAAGACTAACCATACAAATATAAACGCAGTGCACCAAACCCCAAGCTAACACAAATACATAGAACAAGGTGAAACAAACCCAAACCTAAACTGATAAAGATACACAGGTACATACACATATAGAGCACAACGTAGTCAGGCAGGCCGGGTCGATAACTATCGGGCAGGTAGGTACAGGAGGAGCAGGCGGAGAGAATGGTCAGGGTCACAAGCCAGGGATCAAACAGGAGAAGTCAGCAGAGGTCAGGATCAGGCAGGGTCGGCAACAAGTCAGGCAGAAACAGGAACAGGAATGCAGGTTACAAGGTACAGGGGCCCATGGAAAAACACACACCAAGGCACAGACTGCAGGTCTGGCCATCCCTTAAATACACACCCTGCAATCAGCCCCAGGTGATGGCTAATTGCCGAAGTGAACCTCTGGTTGTTGAAAGCACCCGCTGGCCAGCCCTGGTACTGCAGCCCACAAGGCAGGTGAGTCCCACCACTATTGGCAAGTCCATTCCTGACAGTACCCCCCCCCCCCCCCAAGGAGCGGCCTCAGGACGCTCCAAACAGTCCTAGCTGGGCAAAATGTTCCACCGCCCGGGTCCGGTGACTGGCGGGATATCAAAGACTGGCACTTCGGGCTGGGCATCGGACGGAGGCACTTCGGGCTGGACACCGGACAGAGGCACTTCGGGCTGGACACCGGATGGAGGCACGTCGGGCTGAGCACCGGACGGAGGCACTTTGGGCTGGACACCGGACAGAGGCACGTCGGGCTGGGCACCGGACGGAGGCACGTCGGGCTGGGCACCGGACGGAGGCACTTCGGGCTGGGCACCGGACGGAGGCACTTCAGGCTGGACACCGGATGGAGGCACGTCGGGCTGGGCACCGGATGGAGGCACGTCGGGCTGGGCGCCGAATCACCAGGCGGAGCAGCAGGCACTGGGCCCCCAGGCAGGGCAGCGGGCACTGGGCCCCCAGGCGGAGCGGCAGGCACCGGGCAACCAGGCAGGGCGGCAGGCACCGGGCAACCAGGCCGTGCGGCGGGCACCGGGCAACCAGGCAGGGCGGCGGGCACCGGGCCCCCAGGCAGGGCGGCGGGCACCGGGCCCCCAGATGGAGCGGCGGGCACCGGGCCCCCAGGTGGAGCGGCAGGCACCGGGCCCCCAGGTGGAGCGGCAGGCACCGGGCAACCAGGGCAGGGCGGCAGGCACCGGGCAACCAGGCAGGGCGGCAGGCACCGGGCCCCCAGGCAGAGCGGCGGACACCGGGCCCCCAGGCGGAATGGTGGGCACCAGGCCCCCAGGCAGAGCGGCAGGCACCGGGCCCCCAGATGGAGCGGCGGGGCACAGGGCCATCTGGCTCGACAGCGGGCATCGGGTCACCAGGTACAACAGCGGGCACTGGGTCATCAGACATTGGATTGTCTTACTCGACCGCGGGCACCAGGTCATCTGGCTCAACAGCGGGCATCGGGTCACCAGGCACGACAGCGGGCATCGGGTCACCAGGTATGACAGCGGACGCTGGGTCATCAGGCATTGGATCGTCTGGCTCGACAGCGGGTATCGAGTCATCAGGCATGACTGCGGGCATCGAGTCGCCTGGCAAGACCGGGGGCTCCGAGTCAACTGGCGGAACAGTGGGCATCGAGTCGTCTGGCAAGACTGCGGGCACCGAGTCGTCTGGCAAGACTGCGGGCACCGAGTCAACTGGCGGAACAGCGGGCATCGAGTCGTCTGGCAAGACTGCGGGCACCGAGTCGTCTGGCAAGACTGCGGGCACCGAGTCGTCTGGCAAGACTGCGGGCACCAAGTCAACTGGCGGAACAACGGGCATCGAGTCGTCTGGCAAGACTGCGGGTAGGATCATCAGGCTGGATAAGTTCATCAGGCTGGGTAGAGACATCATGCTGTGTAAGGACATCAGGCTGGGTAGAGACATCAGGCTGGGTAGAGACATCAGGCTGAATTGTGGGCGCCGAGGCACCAGGCTGCACCACGGAAGGCAGGTTCTCAGATGGCAGGCTGACTGGTTTGGATACTGGCAGGATGGTATTGGTTGGAAAGAATTTTCGCCTTTTCCTGGTTTTAGTTACCGGAGCACTGTAAGTAAGCGCAGGTTTGTAAACGGATGGAGCAGCTGAAGACAGAGAAGAGCTGGAGGATGGAACAGAGGAGGGAGCAGTTGCTACAGAGGACTTCTTTACAGGGTTGAAGAAAGCATAGGTGCAGCGACTGGGAGCAGGGGACTGGTATGTGGTAGTTAGCAGAGTATACTGGGCCATCACTGGGGGTGCTGTCGGGGATGCAGGAAGAGTGCCTTGAGCAGAGGAATGATGTTGCAAGCCGACTGAGGCTGGGTGTAACAAATCTGTCCATGTCTGCAGTACTGGTTTAACAAAACTCAGCTTACACCTAGCCTGTCTGATCAAAGACTGCACTGCGTTTATGCAATCCATAAGCACATGTGATGGACATGCTGCATAGTGCTCATGGAAACAATCTGGATCATCTTCCAACAACCATATCAGTGCTTCCACTTGATCCACACTAAATGGGGGAAAAAAGTCATTCCTGCTTTCAGGGGTACAGGACCGAGCCAACTCAGCACAAACCTGGATCAATGGCTGCACCTCAGAAAACTCTGTGCCCTGATCAACTAGACAATGAGCGATCCTTCTACACTCTAGCAGTTGATCCCGGGTATACTCCTTCAGAGTCTGATAAGCATAGTCTTTGTCATCAAACACTAGCAGAGATAAATACACCACCACATCAAGATCCATCCTTCTCAGCAACAATAAGCCAAGATGGCTTCCCTGTGCAGCCACTTCTGGTCAGGATTGGCCTTGGTGTAATGTCAGGGATGCGGGTGTGACCAGAGATGTGTGTACTGACACAGGGAAACGCAGGCTTCAGATATGGTATAAATAAGACAATTTATTAAGACTAACCATACAAATATAAACGCAGTGCACCAAACCCCAAGCTAACACAAATACATACAACAAGGTGAAACAAACCCAAACCTAAACTGATAAAGATACACAGGTACATACACATATAGAGCACAACGTAGTCAGGCAGGCCGGGTCGATAACTATCGGGCAGGTAGGTACAGGAGGAGCAGGCGGAGAGAATGGTCAGGGTCACAAGCCAGGGATCAAACAGGAGAAGTCAGCAGAGGTCAGGATCAGGCAGGGTCGGCAACAAGTCAGGCAGGAACAGGAATGCAGGTTACAAGGTACAGGGGCCCATGGAAAAACACACACCAAGGCACAGACTGCAGGTCTGGCCATCCCTTAAATACACACCCTGCAATCAGCCCCAGGTGATGGCTAATTGCCGAAGTGAACCTCTGGTTGTTGAGAGCACCCGGCCAGCCCTGGTACTGCAGCCCACAAGGCAGGTGAGTCCCACCACTATTGGCAAGTCCATTCCTGACAACTACTGTTCAAACCGAACCTATGATTACAGTGCTGCTATCGTATGTTGGTCCTAAGCTAATTCTTAAAACATGCATAGGTTAGCAAGTAAAATGTTTTTGAGGGGCTTAGAAAGGGCAATCTTCCAAGAGTACACCATGTTAAAGTTGACCCATCAAACACTCCAACTATATGTCCTCCAGCCATCATATAGATCAGTGGTTCTCAACCTTTCTAATGCCGCGACCCCTTAATAGAGTTCCTCATGTTGTGGTGACCCCCAACCATAAAATTATTTTCGTTGCTACTTCATAACTGTAATTTTGCAGTGGGAGGAGTAGTGCCACGTCATTGGTGTCAGTGGGAGGAATAGTGTCCCATCACTGATGTCAATGGGAGGAATAGTGCCCCATCATTGGTATCAGTGGGAGGAATAGTGCCCCATCATTGGTGTCAGTGGGAGGAATAGTGCCCCATCGTTGGTGTCAGTGGGAGGAATAGTGCCCCCATCGTTGGTGTCAGTGGGAGGAATAGTGCCCCATCGTTGGTGTCAGTGGGAGGAATAGTGCCCCATCGTTGGTATCAGGGGGAGGAATAGTGCCCCAACGTTGGTGTCAGTGGGGGGGAGGAATAGTGCCCCATCGTTGGTGTCAGTGGGGGGAGGAATAGTGCCCCATCGTTGGTGTCAGTGGGGGGAGGAATAGTGCCCCATCGTTGGTGTCAGTGGGGGGAGGAATAGTGCCCCATCGTTGGTGTCAGTGGGGGGGGAGGAATAGTGCCCCATCATTGGTATTAGTGACACCAATGATTGGGCACTATTCCTCCCACTGACACCAATGATACTTACCTTGCTGACCCCTGCTCCAGCCTGGGCTCGCTCGCTCCCTCCCTCTCCCCATGGTACAGACACTTACCGGTCAGATGTCTTCCTTCTCCGGCCGCTCTCCTCCTCTTCACTCGCTCGATCTTCGCGATGCCGCTCGGCTCCTCCTCTCCAAGCTCCACCTCCTCGCCGGTGATTGGCCGCCTGTGTGCCTCTCCTGAGCTACAGTTCCGGCGGCCAATCACCGACAAGGATTGATCCCGGGGGTGTGTCCAGATGACAGGGACGGCATGTCATCTCGCCCACACCTGCAGACGGATAGAGGAGCGGTGTCTCGGTTCCTAAGACCATCGGAAATATGTGTTTTCCGATGGTCTTAGGCGACCCCTGTGAAAGTGTCGTTCAACCCCCAAAGGGGTCGCGACCCACAGGTTGAGAACCGCTGATATAGATGATACTGTAAGCAAACACATTCACATCTTAAAAGCTACAGTAGTTGAAAGTCCTGCCACTGGGATACTTATAAATGAAATCATGGAAATCCCAGAGTCTTCCTGGATCCCAGAAATCTTAGAAAAAGTTTTGAAAAACAGCATTACTTAATTCCAGTGCCTGAGAATATGGAATCCAAACTGATTTCAATAATATTTGGTATTTTAGAAGAGAACATATACGTTTAGATCAGCGATTCTCAATGACCACATGGACTACTTTAATCCCTGCTACACAACTTGGAACCTGGGCCATATGTGGCACTTTAATACCTATTGTCCACCGCCTGGCCCCAGTAAAAGGAAGTTAGCGTGTTTCCTGTTTAGACGGTTACTTAGTCCATGACCTGGAACAGATAGAGTAGAAATGTTCTTGGACTATGGCTCAGAGTCATGCAAACTGGTGTGCACTCTAAGCTTACCTAGTAATAAAAATAGGATTTTTACTTCAGAGCTGGACCTCCCGGCTCCAGGAGATAAGTCACAGCCACACCAGCCAGCACAGGTTTCCAGAACACACCACCAGCCAACACTGGGTTCCAGACCACACTTTGAGAAACACTGGTTTAGATGAATAGTCATCACAGCTATGTACTTTTAATACACATTGGGGATGACACAAATTCAGTTAGATGCCATTTGGAATCAAATTTGCTAGTGAAGTACTTAACCAATGGAAAAAATAATTCTGAAATATTTAGAGGCTTTGAAATCAGCCAAATAACAGCAGATGACAAGATTATAGCTGCCTCAAACAAAGTGAAGAAAGTTAATTTTCTGTTCAGAGCTGTGGAGGGACCCAAAAAACTCAACATCAGTGCAAAAAAAGGAGAAAATCCAATTCTTTATTAAAGACGTACATGGAACACACAATTATTTACTAGGTTGTGAAAACAACAAAGGTTTAGCAATTTGAAACGTGCCTACACCACAAAACAAAAAAAAAAAATCTAATATGCTTTTTTTTAGCATGCTGTAAAGGCACTTATTGTAATATATTGTCAGTTGAATGTCTCTGACTGCAACTCCAAGAATGTCTACTTAAAGAAACCTGTCAAAACCCAAAAGTACCGTCACGCTTCCATGCACATCGATCCGGCTCCAGGTTTTACCTTCTGTCTGAGTTGCTCAGGTTCCTGCCTACCTTGAGTTACAGTCCCAGTTGGTCTTACCCTCTGAAGTAGTGCCTCCATATACCTTTTAGATACAATCTTCTGCTGTCAAGGTGGCCTAAAGATTATAAATTAAGTACAAAATAAAAAAAACCTCAACACTGCCACTGCTTGTTTTAATTGTAATAATTTAACTAGTCCTACACCAATCCAAAACTGATAACTCTGGTGTGATACATACCCCATATGCTAAACTCTAAAATAAGAATAAATACTAAAAAGGTAAGGGTAAACTGCATTCCTGAATGATGGAATAAAATAACAAAATGTTTTTATTATGAAAAAAATAGCAGGACACTCTTTAACCCCCCCACCATTAAAAAACCCAGACAGATCTGTCATTTAAGGCCATCAGTGCCACCAACCCCATATGTTCATACCAACACTCTACACCAGGGGTAGGCAACCTTAAAGAGGTGGAGATCTACTTGAACAACATGGGAGGAGTTAAAGATCACTGGGCACAGTGTCGTGCAGTGTCGCCTCCTCACACCTGATTTAAACCTCTAATTACCATACTACCGTATCGCAACTTGCGTGCATTGCATGGCAGTCATGGCTTTAAATCAGGTGGTGAGGAGGCAACATATCGACTCCTCACCATCTATCAAACACACTTGGAGCTCTTTTCAAAGGAGCAGCAGTGCCTACTGCACTTGCAGGTGTGCTGCGCTATCTGAAAGCGCATCACAACTTCTACATTCAAGACTTTTGGTGCACTTTCACAATACAAACAAGCAGGATATAATAGAAGTGCAACAAACCCGCAGGAAAGCTGCAGGTACACTGCACTGTACCCGCGGTGTGGTGAAACAGTGTGAAAGCAGCCCAATACTATTATGCCCAGTGTATTGCTTCACACTGACATGAAGATCTCTTCTTTCCTGCTGCTGGCACCACTCTGGAGACCGCTAACTGGGATAAGAGGTGGAGTGCAGTTGGTATCACTCCGCATGGGACAAAAGCCAGCACTACAGAGGAGGCATCGGCTTATGCAGCTCTTGCTCCCTACTACAGTTCCAACTTTACAAGTAGTCCCTCTGCATTGCACTATGTTTGATGCTCTGGGATGGTGAGTTAG